ATTTACAATAATGACCAGTGGGGAAAAGTCAGTGCAATTGTTCTGGGATTTGCGATTTTTAAAAAATTTTTTTTTTCTTTTTATCAACATTCTCTTCAGTCTGTTACGGGTTTTCCTCTGGCCAGCTTGTGCTCATATCCTTTTACATCACCTTTGTCAATTAGGCTAAAATATCAGAAGGAAGCGGGGACATGGGTGCTCGTCACGTGGTCCTTTCAGGATTGTGCTTGTAGGTGTTAACCGCCTCATTAAATCTCCCTGTCAAGGCTTTTTGGGATGTTTTTATCTTTTTTTTTTTTTTTTTGCATCATACTGTTCCAATTTCTTTTGGAGGTGAGAAGCAGCTACCTTTTTCCAAATCTTTTTTTCATCTTAAGTGTTAAAACAACCACTGGCCTTCCCATTTTTTGAGGATGTATACATTTGACATACCCAGAAAGCCAGTTCATAAAGGGGTGCTTTTCTTCACTTTCACTTCCCTGGCATTTCCAAGTAGCTGAAGTTCACAGTGAGACTTGGTGTATGAAAGTCACACTAGTCTCTAAATGCATGTAGTGTTACAACTTACTTTCTGTTTGCGCTTTATTTTGGAACTCATGGCTGCATTAGCAGTAACAGGAGTCCTCAAGACACGATGTCTCTCTGGCTACTCAGCCTGCCAGGCGGTGAGCCCCGAAGTGCTTCAAACCGCAGGCTGGTCTCTTGGTTGGTTTGTTTACCCCCCACCCCCACCATGTGTGACTTGAAGGGATGAGTCTGGGTCCTGGTCCCTAGAGAGGAATAGCTGTGACCTGGCACACTGCACATCTTTCAGCCCCACTGCTGCAGCCTCGGGGATTTTTATCCTGCAAGTCAATGAGCACCGTTCAGTAGGATGAGGGAGAATGGGATGGGGGTGAAGGATAAACGAGGCATGTACACGAGGCACCTGGGAAAACACTATTTGCAGGTAAGTAGCCTTCCTTACACATTTTTTGCTTGCCCTGCTTTACTCCCACTAGGAAAGCTGGATGGCAGCCCAAGCTTTGTGCTGCAACTGAGAGCTTGCCAGGTGATGCACCCCACTGTACGTGTCCTTCTGTGGTGCAGTGGGGTGTTTTTGGAAAATACGCCTGAATTAGCTTCAAGGCTCCGAGCATAAATTTATCCTAGGCCAGTGGTAACACTCGTATTGTAAAATCCTTTTTCCTAGGCTCACGGGACCTCTCTGGGATCAGACATACTGAGCGGAGGTAACAGAACCACCAGATTGGCTCGTGAACTTGAGGACACCAACATGCCACAACGATGGCAGTGAGGGCATCGTAATGCAGTGGGAGACCTGGTTCACTCACCTAACGTTTTTCCAGCCTTTGTACCTCATTGTACTTCTCTCTGGTAAAGGGCTGCTGCGGTTGTTGAAGAGGAGTGAGGCTGAAGGGTGCTTTTCTCCGTCTCGGGACACATTCGGAGGGTGAGTAAGACCCGCTGATAAGGCAGGCTGGGGAAGCAGGGGCGCTGGCGGGCTGAGCCACCACCAGATGGCAGCTGGAGTCCAAATATGAGCCAGGCCCCAGGGACCCTCTTTTGTTCCCGCCGCTGCTGCCCCCGTCCCAGGTCCCAGCGAGTACAGCCCGGTGGGATGACACCGGGGCTCCCACTGTGACGCAAAAAGATTAAAAAAAAAACCCAAAACAACAAAAAAGCTACCCCCCTGCCAAACCAAGAAAAAGAGAGCCACAATTACCAAATAACCAGCAAAGAGCAGGCAGAGCTGGAAAGTCCCTGACTGATGAGTGGGGGAACTAAAATCTTGCTAGTGTTGCATGAGAGTTTCATTCTATTAGAGACGACAGCTTTATAGCACATTATAATTTGTCTCTTCTGTGCCATTTACTTTATGAAGCAGCTAAAAAGACCTTATGGATATCCTCTTTCCTGGCCATGCAAAGGTTTCCTCAAAAATGGTTTGCTTCATGTATTCAAGATAACAATCAGAGCAGTTGTTTTCAGTTCACTTTTACTGAAAGGGATGGTGTGGCTACTGTTCCAGAAGGCCTGCATGACTGAACAGTTGCTTCTTTTGGGGCTAGGTCCCCCGTCTGTGTGTGTGTCCCCGGGATAGAGATATTTCCCTAACATGCTGTTGCTTTCCCATTATAGGCTTTGGTTTTATGGCTCTTCATTGCAGGAAAGTTAAACAGAGGTAATAGGAGTTGCTGGACACCTGCCTGTTACAGTTGGGGAATGCGTAAATAAGGATGCAACAGTTTCATAAATCAGCTCCATAAAATGGTCACGGGGCAAAAAAAGTCTTGTCTTAGGAGGAGAAAAAAAAGCCTGGTACTGTGCTATTGCTTTGCAGGACTGTTCCACCAGCAGCAGCAGGCAAACCTGCACTGGGCAGACGAAACAAGCGGACTAAGCCTGGCAGCGCATCTGCTGAGGGTTCAAGAACAGCAGATGCAGCTTTCCACTGGCCTCTGCACAGGTAAGCCTGGCGTGTATGTATGGCACTACGATGTTGCAAGGCTTCTCAGGGTGCAACAGAGACATCCACAGTGTCACATGTCATTGAGGCATTAGTGGTCTCGCTGGTTTCTTGCAATAAGGCGTCTGTAACCCTTGGGCTCCCCAGAAACAGTACTGCACTGGGGTGCAGTTTTCTGTGCTGCACTGTTTCATCAGATGCGGTGACTCTGACTCACAGTGCTACATTCTCTTTGAATGCCGTTTAGTGTAGCTTTAATGGACTGACTTACTCTAAAGTGACATTTTGAGCAAAAATGCCACTGATGATTGATTAATTTTTAAACCCACCTCTTCCCCTACTTTTATTGTGCAACATTTCACACAAAGCTGTCTTAATTGGTCAGAGCAAGCAGGGACAAGAAAGTGAAAAGGAGACTTGTCTCATTTCCTCTTCTAATAGTGACTAAGAAATCAGACAGATGTATGCGGACAGCATTTTAACAAAGGGCTGTTTTGCTGGTGGGGGCACCTGTCTGTGTGTGCCGAGGTACCCTCACTCTGCAGATGCTTCCCCCTGTTAGCTCACCGGTAAGAGCCCTTCTGCCTGGCTAGTGCGCTATGCCTTCATGTGTTACTGTAGGTGCACCTGTTCTAGCCATTCATTTCCCCTCTGGCAGCTAAACTGTGCCCTCAAAATACTGTTACTGAGCAACGCTGTCTGTAATACCTGAGCATCTTTATCAGGGTGTACTGAATATGAACATGTAAGAGAAGTGTTGCTGTTTATACAATGATTTGTCTTATGTGTGTGACCATTGCCTTTATTAGGGCTTTAATCCGAATCTCATTGCTTGGACTGTCAAGGGTGTATTTCTTCCATCACAGTAACACTTTGACACAACAGTTACTGGCTTTTGAACTGAAGTAACACAGAAGTAACCCATGCAAAAAGTCATCAATTAATTCAGAAATGTAAACGACTTGTATTACTTTATTAAATAGCCAATTCTAAAGAACAGTAAAAAAAATGAAAACATGCATCATTTGGTGTTCTTAAAAAAAGTTTGTCCAAAATGAAGACTGTTAGAAAAAAATTGAACAAGTTTAGCCTCAATACACCTTCTGCTCTCTGCATAAAAGACAGACATTTGGTAGTTATAAATACTGTTCCATCTCCTTTAACAAAGTTTAATAATGTATACATTAGTATTTCTATTACAGTTTTTTTCACATTTCTTCTGTAAACATAATTTTAAAAAATGCCTTGTTAGCAAGCTTAAGGAACTATTGCTGTCCTGTACAGTAAATACAAATAGGAAGATCCTGGATTTTCCTGCCATTCTAATCAGCACTCCATTTACTGAAGCATTAAAGATTTCAATTAGTATAAAAATATAACCAGAGATTAAATGTCTGAGAAGATTCAGTATCTGAGTGAGTCTTAGTTAATTGGCAAATAAAATGCTATTGACTTCCAAATCTGACCATCACTTCTGTACAGCTTCTGCTCTTCTGAGATCCAAGTATCACAAAGCACTTGTTATCCATCTGAAACCTTCACTTCTTATTTACTAAAAATAATTTAATGTTTATCTGAACTAAAAAGCAGGTGCTAAGAGATGGTTGTACATGTTCAGTGTGTACATACAAAGTCAAAGATAACAAGTCACACCAATGGGCACCGGCCCTTTGGGATGGGGGACTTAGTTCTCAAAACATCTGTACAATTTAGCAAGAATACTATTTTATTTATCAATAGACTGACTTCTTGACTGGTGTGGGAGCTCTGCAAAGCAGAATCAGAGACTTGTTCCATCTCCCTACAAACTGGCTTTGTCCTTTGAGAGAATTCTGAGACAGAGCAGTAGGCTATTTGGGAAGCCTTGTTACTAGAAATGCTGAAGTTATTTTGCTGACAAGAATTAGTTTTTTTCCAAAACAGTATTGCTATACATCTATCATTTTTATCTAAAATAAAAAGGTAAAATTTATTTTCAAAAAAATGAGTTTTCCCTCATTTTTTTTTTTTAATCTGGCCTCCAATGAAGACAAGTGCTGCATCTAAACCAGTGGTATGTTATCATCAGATTTCTTGCACGAACATAGCCTTGATGCAGATGGTATTTGGCCTATACGTGCTACCATCTTTCATTCATCTGCCCCAGAAATCTGTAAGTCAAAACTGTGTATGTTTTAAACTATGGAGAGAACTCTCAAGGTTTTTTTTAGCACTTCTCAAGTATGAGACAGTACGAGAACAATCTTGCATGACTACTTTTTCCAAATGTTTTACGGCAGCATTTTGTACATGCCTATTTCCAGTTCTTTTGTTTGGATTCCTGCAAAAAGAGGAAAACAGGACACAAAATCCAACAGGTACCCAGTGATGCCAGTCTACCCTCGCTAGGGAAGAACGTATCTGAGCACTAAGCACAGATATATAAGGAGACTCAGTGGAAGGAAAGGTAGTGCTCTATCTCAGAGCTGGGCAGAACCTCCAGGACTGATTTATCCTGGGTTTAAATTTTACTAACTGAACCAATGAAACTATTGCTTCCCTTGCTTTTTGGAATGAAAGTGACACTGCTTGATCAAGTTAAATGCTGTCAAATAGTTACAGGCTAGTATAGAAACAACTCTGTCACAAGCTACATTTAAATAAAAATCTTCAGTTGAAAAGTTTTCTGTGAGAGAACAGAATTTCTAAAAACGTGAGGGAAAACAGCAAGTACTGTCAGACACCACATGTGATAATTGCTGAGCTCTGCGTAGACACTGGTATGTGGTAAACAGTATTTCCTTTGTAGAAAGGCCCAACCTGCTGAGCAAACTAAGACCTTTATAAGCGAGAAGCTGCTCTGTGCAAAGCAGAACGTGCAAAGGTGGGCTTCTATTCATGAACAATACATCAGCTACCGGCGTTACTCAGAAGTGGCTTTTTTCCCTTTCCAGCTCTTTTGTCTTTGCTCGAGTTCAGCTTCAGTGAAGGCAGCCGGGCCCCAGTTTGTGATTAAGTGAGGATTCTTGGAGCCTGGAAGACAGAGTGCAATACTTGAAACAGGCATTTCTGACAGGGACATCACTCACCCACCATCGATGGGACAGGTCGAGTGTCACCGCAGGATGAGTTGGTGAGTGCTCTCTCTTCTGTGACTGGAGACCCTCTCAAAGGGGGCCTGAGGACCTGCCTAGCCACGGAGGGAGGGACACCATCACTGAAGCTGCTTAGTGTGAGGCGTTGTCAGCTTCTGCCAGCTTTCGCATCCTTCTCTCCCAACTTCCTCCCCTCCCCCCCCCAACAGACCAAATCTTAGCAAACCTCTCTTCTTCTTGCCTTTAGAGATGTCCTTGAAGGAAAGCGATCTCTCCAGCACTGCATTACAAAGCCACTTTGGGCTAGCAAGCTGTTAATTAAGCTAAGAAATTAAACTTTTCCCCAAAATCAAATACTTTAGCTATCTTTACTTCATGTTTTTGGCAATTAGCATTTATGCTAACTGTAGTAAACACCCAAAACATGCAATGTTCAGGTTGATCCTTGCTTTGTTTTAAACAAACAAATAATAATAATAAAAAAAATTGTTATAGTAGGGCCAGTAGAGGTAAAGACTTGAAAGTTACCATCAGCAGATCTCACAAATGTGGTATGTATAGGCTGCTGTGAAACCAGTAAGCTACAGGAAAAGGCAGACTTCAGTAAATCACTAGGTGTTCTAAGTGTAGGAGACAGAATGAATGTGTAACTTTTCTGTTGATAACTTACCTGGCTCTATTAGTCGAATTAATCCCTCATGATGGGCTACTTTATCTTTCCAACTCTTGGTGTTATTAGCTGCCATTTCCAACTTTTTCTTAACCTCCTGAAATAAGATACAGCCCACTCAAAAACAAGAACAACTTTACTCTGTTTATATAAAAAGAAAAAACATCCTTTTAAAGCTAAAGACAGAACCATGCTAATTCAGCCAGCACTCCATTTAGTGTAGACAGGAGAACTGCATTTCTAACCATTCTAAGTAATTTATTCAGTCGCTAGCTGTATAGAAAAAAGCTGTCAAACCAGAATCCAAAAACAACGAGCTTTTACAAGATTCTGTAGCTGCCTAAGTAGGGCCAGTTTTCACGAAGATTGAAAACATAAACATAGTTGCAAAACAGAAAGATATATTTTCTGTTCCAAGCTAAGACAAGCTAGTGGGTACCTCTCACTTAACAGGAGTCATAAAATATAAGCTAGGAAAAGGACCGCTGCTGTTAAGAAAGAGGAGTTCTTCAGTCTAAACCGAGCTTTTGGCCAATTCCAAACAGAAGGCCAGAATGTTTAATTATTTCTAAAATAATGAGTCAACTATTGCAGTGACCCACTCCATTTGTTTTGCAGATTTGTTTTGTTGGTTGTTTTTTTGTTTGGGTTTTCTGTCTATTGTATTCAGCAATTCCTTTGGAGTAGTAAATGACGTTTGATGTACAAAAAGCCTGAGATGTCATCTAAAAAAAGGTCAAGTATTAGCCAAAAGCAATCTAATGATGGTGTTAGATGTAACACCAATATGGTAAGTTGTAAAGTGGCCAGAACTACCCCACCTAGGCCCTGGATACAACTCACTAGCTTGCCCTTCTCACAGAGCTAACCTCAACAGCATACAGACAGCGTAAACACACTCCCTAGTTAAACAGAAACGCAGTCATGTTTTGTTTCCTGACCTAAACACACACAGGATCAACACCGCCCTAGAAAGTAAGCAGCACTTCAGACTCTGCACTCGCTGGATTCTGACTCGAATACAGCTACTGGCCTTCACCAACAACACTCAGCGGAGCAGAGAACAGGCCTGGCATTTGTGATGCAAGGCACTGCTACACATTGAGAATCTGGGCTAATTCCTAGCTATCCTTGACATCAGTTCAGTGCTTAAATACCTTTTTGAGGAGCAAGGGCCTACCAGTAGCACATTGATTTTTCATCTGTAGAAGACAATAGTGCCCCATGACATCATCAAAACATTGCAAGAATAATCAATTCAAAAGCATAAAAAGCATAAAGCATATGGGACTACATAAGAATAGTTAGTCTACAGTAGAAGACAAATGTATACAGAGTATTTCAGGATATGACTTAGATGGCTTGCAGATGAATTGAGACAAAAGAATAAAGGAGGTGGTGTGTCTGAAACATGTCCTCTTCTTCTTCAACTATATCCACTGGTCTAGGCCAAAAAAACACAACACATAACTATCCTACCTGCTATTCTAATTTTTGTGCCATACTCATCCTTAAAGAAGCATGATGTTGATGAACTTCAGTTAAACCACTGAATACCTGGCTAAGTATGAGAGGCTGATGAACAGAACAGCTCACCTCATATTGCTCAAGGGCCTCTTTCCTCTCCAGTTCAAGTTGTTCCAGTTGCTGCATAGCAACTTGAAGAGCCTGTTCCTTTATCATTCTCTGGTTTTCTAGCTCTTGCTTCTCTGCTTCTGTCATCTGAATGGTCTGTTGCTGCTGCAAGTGCCATTTTTCCAGTTCTGCTCTCTTTGCTGACTCCTCTTCCAGTAATCTGCAATGGAGATTGCGGTGTTAACTGCACTTTAAAGTCAGCTCTATCCATTATGTAGCATACATGTAGGGAAGCCAAGCTAATTATTTTCTTTCCTTTTTTATTAAAAAAAAAACAACAACTTCAGAAATAGGGAAAAAGTTGTTGGCTTGTCTTCACTGTAAAGCTGAAAATCATGCCAGCAGTGTAAGCAGTCTGACTGCTACAAAGGGCTATTCAGAAAATGTAGCCAATAATGCAAATATGCAACACTGAAAAGCACAGAAGAAACAAGCATGCGTAAGTTATCTTAATTGTCTTAGGAGAACTGAATATATGAAGAAACAAACCACACTAAACAAAGACCATATGAGTAAGAGGAGACTTAACACTTTATCAATTATTATTTAAACCTGCAATAAAATGCAGCAGAAAGTCATATGCTACAGTTACTCATTTACAAGCTACACAATTGAAAAGTCTGTACAGAGTGATCCCCATTTCTCAAGTGCTGACATGCACAACACCTGGTGAAAAATAAGTGCGCCTGCTTTCCTGAAATTGCTGAGCACTCCCACTGCCACAGGCTAATCAAACACATTAACATGTCATAAATACCAGCTTTAGCCTTCATAGTTTAAGAAAAAAACAAAAATTCTATCCTGTGTCTGGACTTCAGGCTAGTCCCCCTTTCCAGCAGCGTGTCCAAGATGCAAACAATCTTTAACACTATGGCACCGTTGTTTATTATTGCAGGGGGGAGAAGGGAATTGAAGTAAATCCCTACTAGGTAAAAGCCATACCTGGCTTGAAGTTTCCTTACAGTCTCTTCATCTTGACGTGCCTGTTTCTCATCCTCCAAAGCTTCCTGTAGCTGCTTATACATTTCTTCCAGTTCACGTACTCTCTGTAAATACTGTTCCAGTTCAGATGATTTCTGAGCAACCTGCTCTTCCATTTTTTGTCTTACCTAGCAGCACAAATTGAGGACACATATGAGCTACCATTCAAACTCAGGCTTCCAGTTTTTAAAGGAATTGCCAGGTTTCCCTCAGACAGCGTTTTCAGAGACAAACCTTTTCCTGCTGCCTGCAGAGCAAAACTGATAAAACTGAGTCTAGATTTGTAGATGTGTAACTAAGAGCATTTAAAAAAAATAAATAACAACGCAGGTTTCTTACATTGCCCTACTTCATGCCACACGGGATTTTTACAGGGCTTCAAACCTAACTTCAATCCGTTTGATCTTGCACTTAGTTTACAGATACACACAGAACGGATGGAAGGGAAAGCTGACGGAGTGCCCAGACACAAAGGTCAGGCTGGTTTAATTACACTGTTTCCACTCCTTTCCTCAGGCACGTCCTCCCTTGGCAGCAGTGTATTTCACACACTTCCACCTGGATGATGGCACCGCCAACAGCACAGGATTGATAAAGGGGTGGAAATCAGCCAAGGAGCTTGGCTTTGCTAAGAGAAGAGCAGCTATAACAAAAAACAAAGGTAAGGGGTAAAGGAAGGTGAAGGGATGCTGCATATCTAGTCACCCACACCCTGATCCTCATTCCCCACCTTTTGCTGACCAGAGTGGGAAACCAGGGCACTGCGGCTGCAGAGCCACCCTTCCTCACTGCGCTGGGGACAGCAGCAGTCAGCTGGCTCTGAACTGAGCCGGGATAAAGCGCCAAAACCTCAGCATTTAGCAATATGTACTTCACAGAAGGTAAGCACAGCTCCTGAAGCCAGCAAAAAAGGCTTGCTTGCCAAGTGTGATAGAATGGCATGTCCTGCTCCACTGGTCTGCAGTCTGCTTTCCCTCAGCTAACCAAAATCCCACTGACCCAGCAAGTGGTCATATTCAGGAATTCACAGGCAGCCCATAAAGCAGCACTGTGTGCATTTATGTCCCGAGACAATCCATCACATGGACTTAACTATTTCTACTTCTTTTCTCCAGCTAACAGAAAAGCCCGTTATGCCCGACAAAGCTCTTCAAGATGGAAAATGAGTTCTTTTGGAAATTCTCAAGTGTGGATTATACTGACAGTGTTGTAAAGCTACAATATTTCTGTAATTTTTTTTGTTTGCGTGTGTGTATATAAATGTAAAAGAACACACAGTATAAAAAAGCAATTGTTTTAGGAATATATTCAAGTCAGAAAATTCCTAAAATGCATTTTGTTTGTGCCTGTGTTCACTTTGCATATTCATATAGTATGTACTGGCCTCAGGTTCTCCATTTTTGAAAACTGCACGGATAACTTCAGTCTGCATTTATCTTTCAAGCAGTCAATTTTTTCTCAATTTTCCAATAATATTTAAGCTTTGAAAGCCATACAAATTGCAGGCAAGCTGTTCCAGTATTTGAATTCACCAGTAAAAATATTTTATTCCTACATCTCTAATAAATGCAACACAGGTCGCATTCTCCAGCCTCCTGCGGAATCCTTTCAGTGACAGCCTGTGAGGGAAGTCATTGCTGAATGCATTGGTCACTATGTGTAATCGTAGCAAAACACCACATGCACTACTCACCATTTTTTCTCTCTCCAGCTCCAAACTGAAGCGATCTTGTAATTCGACTTGAGTCTGAAGTCTTTTCTTCTCTTCCTCAGCAGCACGAGCAGCTGCTGCTTCTAGTTGCTGGAAGAGAAGGGCAGGGGGTGGAGGAGAGAAAAGAAGGAAAAAATAATTTGTCAAAACTAAAACATTTCAAGGGAATGGTATTTCATTTAACAATTTTTGTTTTTAACTAAAATGGAAGAAACCTTCAAAAGCATTGAGGCACCAGTTTGAGAATAGTCTCAGACGTTTAAAAAAACCCAATCTCTACATATCTTTTTTAATCTTGTTATTTGCAAGACAATTTTAAGTTTACCAATGAAAAGTCAATTATCAAGACTTCTTCCAAGCTTCAAGTCCTGCTTTGCATAACAGATAAAAATTGCTCTATTTCCTTCTTTATCTCGTATGGGATAAAAAACTGTTATGGAAAACCACATCACAGGCAGGAGTGCACAGGAGTTCCAACAGTGAAAACATGCCAGCATGCATAGAGTTCATACAGAAACAGAAGTGAGAAGCACTAAATTGCCATGGGAAAGCAGAAGTGCTGCAGACTTTGACTATAATAAGTGATTATGTGATTGTGAATCACATCCCTTTAACATCCCCTAAATTGCCATGTAAGGTAAATAAAATCCTAGTCAATAATCATCACTTGAAATTAGGGGAAAAATTAGCCTAGTCAGAGCTAAGGCCTAGGAAACAGCTGCTGGTACCTTCATGCCTTTTTGCAACTTAACTTTTTTTGCATCTTGATTTCACATATAGACAGTTGTCACAGTTTTTCCTTTCATCTGGATTTGAACAGCATGTGTATTTAGAATGTATGGAAAGTTAGAAGTGTACAAGTACCAGCCAAAACTTTACCAATACTGAAAAAAAAAAGAATTCTCTCACAGAATTTTCCTAAGAAACTTATCTGATGGTTCAGAGGAAACAGAAAGCAAGCACCCTTCTTTTGTAATACGTAAGGCTGGTGAAATTGTTTCTACAGACCTCTAGTAAGAGCGGGACACCCATCTTCTTTAGTATTTTTGGAAGGTACCACATTTAAACCATCTTCCCTCACACAACCTAGATGAACTAATGAGATGCCTGAATGATTAAAACTGCCAAGCTAAAACTTTCATTCCTTTAAGTACTTGTGATATCACTGTAGTTAAAGAGAAGGGTCCTAGTTTGTTTTTAAGCTGTAGAAGATAGTACAGAATTGCTCTCCTTTGAAAGGCTTAAATGATGCAAGTCTTTTAGAAGTAGTATTCCTCCTCTGCCAGAACATTAAGAAGCATGTAATTGTAATCAAATGCAAGATGCCTATTTAAGTGAAATTTTCTTTTGATTTCCTTCCCTGCTTTGAAATGAAACAAACATTGCCAATACTGAGCCGAGAAGGCGAACGTGCAGAATCACAAGCAAGGGTGTGTGCTAGGCTTTTGCCAGAGAGCTCAACAAGAAAATACAGTGTTTGTCCACTCTATCAGAAACTTCATGCTTATTTCATGTCAGAGGACATCAGTTCCTGGCAGGTAAGGTTGCTGGCAACAACTATGCAGTTTAGGGAAAAGTCGCAAATGTTGGCGTTGGGGAGGGAGGGGGAATCAACAGGAACGCACCATTCCAGGAGGGGTTAGTTAGCGCAGAGTCTCTGAATCCCATGCAAGACACCAGATTGAAACAGAACAGCTGCATGAATCCTGTGCATGTTCTCTTGGTAAGAAAAACTTACCTTTCAGTCTGTTTAATCTTGACATTCCATTAAAAAATACGAAAAAAAAAAACTATATAGAGACAAAGGCTCTTATTCTTACGCAATTTGCTACTGCAAGAGCTATCAAAATACAAACCCCTCTCAGAGTGCGCTTTGGCAAGTGCTGTGTAAGTGGTGGCTCGCTGCCATTAGAAGCAAATCTAACTCTAAGCTTTCCAGAACAATTCAGTTTCCTGAACCATTTACAAAGCCTTTTCCTTGAAGAACATTTTTCTAACTAATCAAACACTTTAAGTTCCTCCAACACAGTACCTCCCCACTAATTCCACTCAGAGTGCAGTAGTTCATGTCAGAGACTAAACTACTCTCCTTGAGAAGTCATTTTAATCCAGTCCACTTCAAAAGTCGCTTCTTGCTGCAACTCTCTTTAGTTTACCTGTTGCAATTTCTACAAAACTCCCCAGAGCCTGTCAACATCCTACTGCTCCTTTGGGGTTGCTCTCCTGTTATCTTCCCCCTCATGTTTTCTCAATAAAGTAAACTCAACACTGCAATCCAGCCTTGTGATTTCTGTTAACAGGTATATTACCTACCAGTAACTTGCAGGTAACACAGGCTATCCTTTAAAGCATGTTCTGCATTCTGAGTCTTAAACACATGGTAGAGTAAAGGTGCTAACATTAAATTAAAAAAAATTGTTTTCACCTGACAGACTCCATTTAAGGCAAACAGAATAATACCCACATGAATACTGTCAGTACAACATTATTAAAAAAAAGACAAATTTCTCCTTGCCACAAATCATGACAAGACTGCTAAAAAGACACCTTTTGGATTATTTATTTGTTTTATTTTTATTAGTTTCTTCTGAGGGCTAAAATTAGTTAGTGTTTTTCATTTATGAAAAACTAAAGTAATGACTCAGACTTGTCCTAAATGTGAATGCAAAAAATCAAATTAATTTAGGAATGTAGTGAACAGAAGACTCTTTAGACTAAGCATCAACCAAAGATCGGGACTGCTTCAGCAGCCAAAATGTCGGGGAGGGAGGCATTTGCGTTCTCTAAGGGAAAATAGCATTCTAAGCTATTTCCACGGCACGCTCCTCATTAAAAGATACCACGGCAATAAAAGCCATAGTAACTCTTCTTGCAAGTCTTTAAAAAGAAAAGATGGGAAGTACATCTGGATACTAACCAAGTCTCTGTGGAGAACTATTGCAGAGGTACCAGTTGTTCCCGAGTACAAAGATCCATCAGCATGTTCAATCTACTGTCAAGAGTGTGCAGCCACAGCAAAGGCACCTTGGTGCCTCCTGTGAGTCGTTAGATTTAGACTGAAAAGCTGTCTACACAGAAAATAATGTATTCAGCAAGTCTTCTGCTAACACTCAGAAATTTCCAGTCTAATTCTCAGGCTTTTGGAAGTTAATCCAGCATTTATAAGGAACATGCATTTAAACAGTTTAAAATGGTTGCTATGTGTCTCAGCTCTATAAATCTCTCCCAAACTACTTAATAAAGTTATGCTTATACATACTTACAAAATCGCTTTGCATCTTTGGAATCTTTTTAAATTAAATTTGTATCTCTGGAAACTACATCTATGTGACGGAAAGAGTTCCCCCCCCTCAAAAAAATTCACATAACAGAACTCTGGAAAACTGTGTACGAAAAGCTTAATGGAAAGCCTCAAGTTTGACAGACATGTCTGACAGAAAAAAAAAACCCAAAAAACCACAAGTAACTGAAAATACTAGATTCTCCATTCCCCAAACACCATCCACACAGCTGGGGTTTTCTTTTGCACTAGCCTCACAACACCCTCGTAAGTACAGGGCCCAGGGCTGGGCCACGCCAGTTCCCTTGGGCCTGCAGAAGAGTCCTTAGAAAGCGCTGCAGCCGGTGCTGAAGGCTGTACTGCAGGATCAGCTGGCAGGTCTACCTGCCTAGGGGGCTGACGCTGACACAAGCTCACCTCCTCTGGAGGAGTTCGCGCAACGCGTCTCAACACCTGAACAGGAAATAGATGCCTAATTATCCTTTGAGAATTGCAACCACAGAGACTGAACTTAAAGCTTGAAGGTTAGCGTCTCCCACTCCCACCTTTCGCACGGTCTCCAGTTCCTTCTGCTTGTTCTCATTGGCCGTTTGCAGTTCTTTCATCTGCCGCTCCAGCTCTTCTTGCTCAGCTAACAGCTTCTGGCGCAATTCTTTCCGTTTTTGGCGTGCTTCTTTGTGGGGTGGAGGGCTCCCCGCTCTCAGCAGGTTTACAGTGGTCTGTATGGCTGGAAAGGAGGGTGGCAAGACAAAGGGAGAGGAAGAGAACACCAGTGAATGGAAATGCTAAACTTTCTGGATAGCCTTAGTGAACGGATACTTGTGGTGATGTGTTGTTTGGGTTTTTTGATGTATTGTTAAATCAGAAATAACTGTTGTCAGTTCTCCTAATTCTCATCAGGCTAGCTGTCAACACAAACCAAAAGTGAAAGCTGGTGGGCTTTCAGCATTGGCTGTGTGCCACAAGGATAAAGTCCTGCAATGCCAATGCATTATGTCAATTCCTATATTGGTTTCTAACAGGCAGTGGATATACAAGTCACATGTATGCACAGCTGCAAAAAAAAAAAAGCCAAACCCAACACTTTAAGATTTCTTAGTACATAGATTCAGTGACCCTAATCAAGCAGTAAGTTGTTACATTCCGAGAGCAAAGCTGAGGAGTGGCAGATGTTTTTGATATTTTATTCACCTATTACAACTGTGAAAAAGATCTCTTTTGGAACTAAGTAATCATTCATTATACATCAGACTTTGGTGCAATTAAACACATGCATTAGGTAAAGAAGGAAGTGCAAATGAACGCACACAGCTCCAAATATTTTAAATGCTGCACATACTTCAATGCCATTGGCAACAGTGGGTTGTTCAAGGGCTTCTACCTCACTCTGCAGAAGATGCATCTAACTATCACTCAGCACATCCTTGGGAATCCCTCACAGAATGAGTACCTTCACCGTGGGAATAGAAAAGGAAGCCCCAATTCTCAGCCTTATCCTCAGCTCACCAAACCACACTACCTCATGATGCCGAAATGAACAAGCTTTCCCTTTCGCCCCAAAAGCAACAATTTACAAAGTATTCTCCTTCCCTTCCCCACCCCTAGAATTATGCAAAAATTATAGAAAAAGCAAACAACAAGAATATCTGTTTCATTTTGGTTATGGCTGCCTGAATTGAGTCATGTAAGCGACAGAAACCAATTCCCCTGATGTGGATCGTTAGCTCTTCCTCAGTCTCAGGCTCCTTAAAGATCCTTTCCACATGCCCAAAACAGAGACACCAACAATCAGAAGACCAAGAATTTAAAATCTGAGTAAAGCTATAAGACTTCAGCTTACCTTAACTTTCACATAACTAAGAGTTTTGAAACCTCACCTTGAATCCACTCTTGCTTCTTCTTTTTATCAGAGGCACTGATCTCAAAGCTTTTATCAAGACATTTTATGAGAAAAAGGCATTTCTTTCCATCTTTGTCAGGCAAGGCCTAGAATGGGTAACAAAGGATTAGACTTGCAAACACTGAAATCTAAGTTGTATTCTCAAGCCCCATGTATGCAGTTATCTGTTACAGAGCTACAAATACCGGTACTAAGAACCTTATATAAAAACAGTTCATAAACACTTTTTATGACAGTAAAAAATAACAAGATATCAGGAGTCCACCCTGCACACACACACAAAATTAATTCTTATCTTTAGAGATATTCATAGTTTTTGGCTTTTTTTTTACCTCTACACAACAGTTGCCATCCAGTATGATGTCTCCCTTCTTGTCCTTTAAATCTTCACTTACATAGTAGGAAATAATATTGGGTTTTAGCACAAACCATCGTTCCGTCCAATTTTTCCTTTTATGACCTTTTTTCAACATATAGCCCTGTAAAAAGCAATGCATCCGCTGAAATGCCCGGCCTGTGTTGAATCACCTGGTCTTCTGGTTATGGGGCTTTAAAGTCCCAATAGGGCACACAGAAAAGTTAGCTCAAGGCCCTAAATACTTCAGCTACACACATCCATTCCTAATACCAGCACACATGCTAATTGTTTAGCCCCTGAGAAACTACTTGCTGTTCTTCTGTCCAGTTTTTAAGTAACTGGATTATCTGAATAACATTATTATTATCATTATCGTCATCATCATAAGTCATTATTATGACTCTTCGGTTCTCTTGGATGTCCTTTACTATTTAATTTTCTTCAGTCAAGCAGAGACATTTGCCATCGCTAAGACTCACCTGTAGTATTTTAATGACAGCCGTTATTAAAAATCAGTCCTGTGAGGATGCACGCCCCAGTGACGGATGTGTGCCTGCATCTACGCACTGTAAACCCAGGCTGTTACGGGATACTCCCAGGGACAAAGCAGAAGTGCCTCTCTCCTGGGAGTGGCTCCACCCCACCACCACACTCATTTAGCTGCACCCCACTGAAGAAGCAATCCCATACAGGATCCTTCAATGACTACGTTAGAGAAACTGATAACAGAACCATACTCCTGGCATTTTTATTGGACTGGATATGGGAACACTGGCAAAGCCTGGATCTTCCCTTGAAGAAAGAAGGTCATACTTTGATTTAAATAATGCCAAGATTTTACTCATAGTATTTTTTTTTTTCTTGAAAGATGATCCACTCAACTTTCTATATGAGAAAAAAGCACTTGCAAGCCTTAACAAAACTATTTCAAAACAAGGTAGATAAGCCCATGCTTTGCCACTGAGCATTATACAAATAAAAGAATAAAAACTGTAAACTTCTGTAATGGCAATACATGGGACTGGTATCATGAGCAAATCATCCAAGTTTGCCTCTATTAAATATTAACATTTCTAAAATATAAAGAGCAATACTAAGTGCAGTTATACTAGTAACCCTGTTATACATTATCCAGTGTGGCTATGGCAATTCAAAAACCCTCTCATGGAAAAGAGGGTACACAGAGAATGATATAATAATTGGTCATTCTTTCAGGCGTTTGATTTTTAATGGTCTTACCAGGGGCACCGCTGTGACCCTGACAGTTTTTAATCTAGAGTTTCAAAGTTTGTCGGTAGTTGAGCTATACCTGCCATTTCTGAAGCCATACTTCCCAATTACTTACACACTTTCGTCTGGCTCTTAACTTCAGAAAAAAGTCAAATCACTGATGAAACTGAAACACCTACATCACTATAGCTATGAACAAGCAATACAGAAAGCACTGTACTTAAAATATTCCAGATTAAGAAGATGGAAAAGTTGGAAAGAAGATCAAGGAACATTTTTCTGTAGTGCCTTTTAGCTATAGCAGCTTTGGATATAAGTAAATAAATAAATGTGCTGTGGCATATTTAAGTCAAAGTTGTCTTTCTGTACAGGTCTGAGGGGAAAAAGATTCAGGATAGTGGGAGAAGCTCTTTTGTTTAAAAAACAAAACAAACAAAAATAAACACCCCCCCTACACACACGGCTTATCTGTGCTCAGCTTTTCCAGCCAGTTAAACGTGGCCAGAGCCAAGGCCTTGCCTATTCCCCTGTGCTATCCCACCCCTCTGCTCCAAAACAGGAATGTGCAGAGAAACAATCTTTGTTTGCCGCCTCCGTACTCGGGTCCGGGGTCTGGGTGGTTGCAAGGGCATGTAAAGGACCCCTGCAGCTTCACTCTTCCATGCCTTGCACAGTCTAAGCCTAAGGGTGTTTTTCCCCTTCCTGACATACTAAATTTGCTTTCAAAGCCAAGTCAGACTGATATTTTCCCCTCAAATTTCTGCAAAATCTTTTATTATTTCTGTGCATCAGCTGCTTCTCATCTTCCAAGAACCCACTAACAGCTCCTGGGGACCTTTTCACACCAACTCTCACGTGAAGGACACATCTTTCAGAAAACTAAGTATCACAAATTTAATCATCACTGCTACCCTCCATAAGCCTTGGAGATCCAGGATAAGTGTCCAAGAAAAAGGGTAGTATGAAACTTGGCTACGATACGGTATGTCATTAATTAATACCCTGAAGTAATCATACACTGCAATAAACAGGAAAATTCTGTGAATCAACAAGGTATCACAGTACAAGCTGTGACCGAACCAGACATCTGTAAGTCACACAGGGAACTCCATTCTCCATTAGGCCAGTGACTGTCCAGGAGGCGCTCGGCCAAATCTTGACACAAACTATTTTTAAGTGTCAAGGAACCAAAGGCACTCAGACATCCTTGAGAAAGAGGCCCAGCCACCAAGAGAGGAAAGAAAGGAGACAGTAAAAAAAAAAAAGGGGGGGGATGGTGGGGGGAGAGACACAATGCAGTATCAAAACTGAAGAGAAATCAGATTTCCTCACAAGTTTCAATTGGAAGGACTGACCTGACGCTGGTTATTTTATTTTCATGGTATTAAATAGCAGAATGACTTCATTTTGCCCTCAACTGACTATGTGTGTGTGTGTCCCCAGCCCTCACCTCTAACAGGCCACCAGCAGTTAACAAAAATAGATTTTTGCATTGTTCGGTGGATATTCCGAAAGAATTTCCTGTGCCAAGACCTTCTGATGATTTCTTCATAACAGCTCAGGAAAGCCTGCCAAGAAAGCCTTTGTTTCTCTCCTCACCAAGAAGCCAAGAAATCAAAGATGACAAAAAGCCTCTGTCAGGTAAAAGTCAATTTTAAATAGCTCTCTATGTAAGCTCTGCTGTGATCCCTCAGGTCCCTGTGATATTTATACTTCCCATGAAAGAAATGCCATTTTAAAAGCCATTCCTAAACTGATAATCCAGCCACTGGAAATCTGAAGAAACTGAAGATTGACAAAAGTTTGCTAAGAATATAAAGGCCAGCATGACTTCCTGTGTTTGAGTACAGGTAAATAAGTTGTCAGTCATGTAGCCTGCTAAGCAGAACAAGAAGGCAGAGCGCTCTGGAGCTGTTCTTACACCTTTTTGCCCTGTTGAAGTGGGGCAACTTAGAAGCAGAGGTTTCAACTGGAGCAATACCTTTGTCCAGACCCCCTTGTTTGAATAGAGGTCATCATCAGCACAACTTATATTTGCTACAATGTAAATGAAACTAGAAAAAAGCATTTTCAAAGATTGAAGAGCTGTCACCAGTTTAAGAACTGACAGTGTGTTGCAGCTATTCTGTCAGCTAACAAGCAGCTGATAGTAGTATAGAAAAGGCTGTATTTTAAGGCAGAGCACACTTCTTTTACTTTCTAAAAACAAACTCTCCCAACAAGCCACTCATTCATAATACTGCAACAATTACAACAATCTGAACAGCAGCACTATTTCTCTTTTATAAAAATAAGCTCTTTAAAGAGCCCTTCTAAGTAATTCACATAATTTCCCCCTGTTCATTAATCCACCAGGTAAAGAAATTTCAGTAAAAGTTGAACATTTCCTATTTATGCAATAAATTGTTCTACTTTAAAACATTAGTTCTCTGTGGTTCTTACCTGTTTGAGTACATCTAATATGAGCTCATTAAAAACTTCATTGATTGCCATGGACACCGTCTGTCGGTCCATCCCTTTACTAAACTGCCCACTTCCGATGAGGTCAATCAGCTCCCATGCAGAAAGACCTTCTCGACTGGTGTTGAGAGCAATTTTATAATGGTCAAACTGCTCTTGCTGCCAGCCTGCTCCCATTGCTTCGGTGAGCTTTTTCAGTAAATACTCAATCTGTACAGAAATAGAAGCAGAAATTAATCATTTTCAGCAGGCAGGGAAACCAAGTGTTTCAGAGCTGTAAACTAAGCTTCTCCAGAGACGTTACAGCTAGATTCATATGTTCACATGTACACGGTTTAATTAGCAAAGATTTTGGGCTCCTGTCTCAGTTGAACTTTTGACTGCCAAGCCCATCCTGCAGTTACTCTCTTCACAGGAAAGAAACAAAGAATGAACCTGACTGCCTCTTTTAATATTTCAGATTGCTACAGAGCACATGGGACCTTCCCTGCAACAGCTTCCAAACCATGATGACTGAAGTGTGAGAAAGTAAGAAGTTTCAAAAAGTATTCTTGTAAGATAAAAAGCAAACAAATTAGAAAAAATAAGGAAAGATGGCAGTTCGGGCAAGAAGTGAAATGAAAAACTACCAAGGTACGATCACATATATTAGTCTTAACTCAACCCTTCTTCTCCATCTCTCACGCACTCCATCACTGGACACGATCTTGGCAGATGTACCAAGAGAAGTAAAAGAACAAATTTTTCATGTCCGCTTTTACTGTTTCCAAAATAAACTCTCTTTTTCCTTTAATCTTTTATCATTCTGTAAGCATTACCATACACAGGGTAATAACACCAATAACACTAGTCAAAATAAACACAAGAATGAAAAAGAGGGAAAGAAGGCTGTGTTTCTTCTTTTGTCTGTTTGTTTATGTAGTTTTTAAACTCATCACTGTTGGCTCTTTAAACAAAGAAGTATTTTAAACTAAGTCCATCTACAGCTTGAGCACATTTAAAATGCTTTTAATGGCTCTTTAAACAAAATAATCGGTGAGATTATTTTCCTAAAGACAAAACGAAGTAAAAGCCATGCTTCTAAGTTTCTCTGACTGAAGTCACAGGATACAAACTACTGCGTTTAACCCAGTTTTGAAGACAGACCAAGCTAACGTAGCTTTCTCCTACTTTGCGCAACAGCTCACTGTGTTTCCTCACCGGCTTTGCAGGGAACCCGACTGCCTTCAGCAACCAGCCGAGACAGACACTACAGCCACCTGCACCCTCCCTAAGGAGGAAGTCTGGGAAGAGGGTGCTCAGTAACCCCACAGCGGAGCACCCTCCTGCACCAGCCCACTGCTGGGTAGCAGCACAGGGCAGCAGCAGCTCTCCCAGGGACTGGCCTTCCTCTCCAGCCACCACGAGGCCAGCACAGAACCACCTCTTGGCAAGTTGGCTCACAAAGCTGCAGGCCAGGGCCCCTCCTGGCTGCCCTGCTTCTTGACAGGGATGGGGGGGTGCAACAGGGTGGGAACCGCACACCGCTCAGTGGAGGTGGGGAGGGAAAGCACCACGATCCTTTCAGGTTCTCCCTGTGCACATGGAAATAGCATGGATTTCCTAAGAATCATAGAATAGTTTGGGTTGGAAAGGACCTTTAAAGGTCATGTAGTCCAATTCCCCCTGCAATGAGCAGGGATGCATCTTCAACCAGAGCAGGTTGCTCAGAGCCCCGTCCAACCTGACCTTGAACATGCTGCTTTTCTGAATGTCAGTCCTTCAGGACAGTCTGTTCCAGTTTCAATTTTACCTACTTTAGGTGTGGTTTCAGAAACACTAAGTGACTCGGGAGTCTGAATCCCATTATAAAAAATTACTTGGTTATACAGCGTGAAGGCGCCTCATTGAAAAGCTGCGGAAACCAAATGCTTTCTAGGACCTCATTTTATTAATCACCAGTGCTGGTTTGCCTCTGTTGCTCAGAACTGCTTGAAAAACACAATGTAGTTTCTCCTACAGGTAAGAAAAACCCCAGCTGACAGCGCCAGGGGATGTTTCACTACAGAATGAATTAACTTTTCAGCTACAGCTCAGAGTCACTTTTCAGCTGGTCTAATAGGCTTTTGAGCACCCAGCAGTCTCTACATAAGAGATCTGGGAGTACAAAGAAATAAGGAAGTGTTTTTTCCCCACACACTTCACCACAAGGACTCCCAGGCCTCAAGGTTTTGATGCAGCGTACATGCTGGTTTTGTGGCTGCTGCTACTCTCTCTTGCAACTGGTACAGGCAAATCCCTTCCTTTCCCTCACATCCACGACCAAGAAACACACAAGCATGGACCAGAACACTCACCTGGCAAAGCAGGAAATTACCAAATTCACCCTAGAGATGGGTGGACTTTTCTTACTATTTCAGCTCAGTAACTTTCTTGGTCTGACAGCCCCTACACATTGGACTAATGCGGTAGCAAAATGGAGAAGCTACTGAAAGCCACTGCACGGTCTGGAGGAAAGTTCCCGCTCCGTTGAATGAGCAAGAAACGCATGTCCCTCCGAGGTGCGACATGGGCCTCCTGCTGCTGCAGTGCCAGGGCTCTGCTGTGCGATGTTCGCTGCTGCTCATATCCGACTTCACCAGAACGGGTCATAAAACTGTGCGCTGCACCAGTTCCACGCACAGCTCGGAATTACTGAAGTTCATACAGTCACATGATAGCAAGGAAACTTTAGCATGCCCTCCCAAGCAACCAACATACAGTTTTTACTAAATTTCTGTAAAATTCAGTAACTATTTCCCTTAAAAATCTTTAAAATATACTTTGCTGATTTTCACTGTCCAAAATCCTTAAGTTAAAAAATTAATCCAAGGCTTTTGAGCACCAGCTACCATAAATCCTCAGCATTCAGTTAAAGGCAGGAAGCAGCTTACTTCCTACTCCAGGCAAGTTTTATAGAAAAAAAAAAAAACCCAACAGCCCAAAAAAGCCCTTCACAGCATGCAACAGCAGCACTCTGAACTTGTTTCAGAACAAACCTCCTAAAACCTGGATTTGATGAGCTGAAACGAGCTCTGGCATCAATGCAGGAGTAACTTTTTTCCCCATGTTCCAAACACATTCTACCACTTGGCTCAGTCCCTCTGAGCAGCACCAGTTCTGAACTATGATCCTGTACTTTAGTTGAAGGGAAAGCTAAAATAACTGAGGCTTAATTAAGTTGATACTATACCTGCCAAAATGCTAGAGATTAATTAAAAAAAAAAAAATCATTAAAACTTAAATGAACTTGAGCTTTAAAATTTATTGTTCCAAGATTTCACAACCTATTACACTGCTTGAGGCATGCAGCTCTCAAATTCTTTTGGTTAATTATCTCAAAGTACTAGGACTTGCAGACAAAGGGACACACAAAACAACAAAATCATACCTGAATAGATTTTTTTCACTTTTTTGCTCAAGCCATACGAACAAAATGTACATCAAACTAATGATCTGGAAAAAAGGGAATGCAAAACTCTTGACTAGTACACCTTATCATGTGCACTAAAAATAAGTCAACATATCCTTTCCTTTGATAGCATTTGTACACACTTTACCTTATTTTGATTATTAGAACCGATTTAAACGTTTAAGTCTGCTAACCCCCATCTGCAAGTCACTAAAACGACCACAAACTCCATTCAAGTACATAAAATATCTCATAATTTTAAAATACATTAACTCAACTGAAAAATGACCTCTGCATATTACAATTTAATTTCCAAAATTAAAAAAAAAAAATATATATATATATTCAAGCTTTATCTTTCATTCAGGTAAGAAGATGGCTAACCCAAGTCCCCAGAGAATTTTATCTAACATATCTGCTTAAGAGCAATAGTGAGCATTGGGGTGGGGTATAAATATGGAACGGTGCGAGGTAAATATAAAGAAGTAAGTTGGATCTAGTAAGTATGGAAGCAAAGAAGAAACCATTCATTATGTGCTCAAATGAGGAACCTCTGAGAGCAAATGACATTTCCCCTCCTCCACAAAGAGACATGTCAACTCAGCAAATAACTGACAAATTAAGTCTACTGGCTCAAACATAAGCTACTATTGTGGTTAAAAAGTAAAGTGTCGAAAAGCAAACGTGAAGCAACATTTGCTGCTATTCTGACTGGACCTTACTCACTTTCAGATATGGACATAAAAACACAGCGGGGTGGCTAATGCTACATACGCCAGTGAGGATCAACTGGCTTTCAGTATGAGAAATGGCTTCCATCTCAAATTAACAGAAGCTTTTCAGAATTTTGCCAAGAGAAAGCAAAAACAATTCAAAGAACATAGGTTCTTTAACATGAGCTATGCAGTCTGTTTGATACCTTCTTTCAGAGGGCACTTTCTTTTCCCATGTTTCAATACCTATTCACTTTGCTTTTCCAGGTATTCCTGGCACTATCCTCCATGAGGAATGAAGTATCATAGATGTTTCACGTATTTTTCTGCTATATAAGTGGGTCTCTTAGAAGATGAAAAATGAAAAATAATGTCAAGGAGGCCTCCATGCCCAGCAGAGCACAGCAGACAAAGCTATTCTGGTTCATGCTATTCAAATAAGGTTTGTGATATTAACAGAGCAGATGTAAAAAGTCTATTCACATTCTACAAAATTCTGTGGAAGCACATGTTACTGGGCAAGAAACACGAAAGCAATTATATCCCCTTTTACTGTCATCATCAATTCCTTTTTTTTCATCCCATCAGAACATGACTTACTTTACATCAAATATTTGTTTCTTCCCTTCCACCAACAAAAAAATCCCCATACTAGGTTTTATTAAACTTCATGGACAATAACTACTCCGGATTAATAGACTTTGCGTAAACTGTGTTCATCATGCAGTGTAAGCCATCTTTTTTTAAATTAAATTAGCATTAAGTAATATAATAAAAGTCAACTCAAAAAACAGTGTAACATGTAAACATGCAAATCCTAGGGGTAATCTGCTGCATAAGCTGCAAATTGTCTTATTTTTTGCAGCCATCACGGAAAAAGAGTAGTGAAATGGGAAGAACTGATGTAAGTCATAAATGACTAAATATGTTTCTAACCATCATCATCAACTTGTAGAGGTCATGGGTCAATTAAACCCCCACATAAGCAACTTTCGTTCTAGTTGTATCTGTTTTGATTTTATTTCTGAACAGCAAAGGTTCAATTCCCAGTATTTCATTCACTGTACCAGTTTCTGATACTAGAATGCAGAACAAGGAAGCAAACATGGTCACAAAAAACCTTTTTCTGCAAGAAATGCCTACAGAAGAATCACCACTGGACAGCTTCAGACTTTTACCTCCTCAGTCTAAAAAAACACCACCTCATTTTCAAATGCACAGAAAGCCATACAAGGTTTGGACCCTCTTTGTCCTCACTAGGAGGATTAGAAATGCCACATGTTAATACAGTTGAAGGCTAGAGGACAAGTGAAAAATGGCTGTACAAATCTTCTTTCCTCAAGAAGCCAGGCTTAAAAAGCAAAGACAACAAATATGTTTGGCTTATTTAAAACAAGTTATGTGAACACTATATTACAACACGCAAAGACCGCACAGCTTGCAGCATACATATCTGCAAGTTTCAGCATTAAGGATGGCCCAGAAACATAGCTAACCACATACCACAGCTTTCAGGCGATAAAGCATTCCCAAGGCTGCAGTCACATGTCCAGAAATAAGGGGAAGTGTTTGGAAACCTTTTTATAAAACTGAAAACGTCTGGTTAAACAATACCAAGGCACAGAAATGAGCCTGTAACAACTAAGAGGCGAGTTGTAAGGCAAGCTCACGACAGACTAGAAATATTTCTCCTCCTGTGGCTACAGTTCCCTCCACCTTTCTTCCCTTTATTTTACCCTTCTCATGGAAGAGGTAATGTCTGCGAGAGCTGAAGGAAACACACACTTGGATGTCTGTGTCTCAGATGAGTTAGTGGAAAAGACTGGCTGCGGGGAGGGGAAGGCGTTCCCACCTAGGCACCCACTTTCCATGTGCATTAGCAATATAGCTGCTTGGTTAAGCTCTGCCCGCTGCACCGGAAGGCAATTCTGTTGTAAGACAAGAATTGTATTAATTCTGAAAGCTGTCCATCAGGACTAATTTTACCTAGAGCAAACAAAATACAGTACTGTTTTTCCCCAGTCCATCTGTCTCTCTTTGAAATACCACATTCACCCAGTTCACAGAACTGTTTTATTTTGTGCCCAGCAAGGCTTCTCACTTGAAAGGGGAGGCAGCTTTCAGATTTGATACCATTTTGCATTTCCCTGGGACACAAGCACCTTTGCAAAACAGACATTGATGGATCTCTGCTCCTTCCCAACAATCCTAACTGCTCTCAAGCTGCCCACCAGTCACCAGCAGAAGCTACACTGTAGCCCAGGGTCATTACCAGCTAAGCCCAGTTCCCCACATAACCACCAGCTCTTACCTTTCTGTTAACCTGACTTCTCCCCATAACATCGAGGGATTCTCTCAAGCTTGAAGTCACACCCCAAAACTGCACACCCCAACCTAGGCCCTTCCCCATGCTGGATTTTACTAACCTTATTTCCCTCAAGTGCAGGGCTGCCACCTCTGCTTCCATGGCAGGTGAGGAACACAGGCCAGATGCTGCCTCTGGCTTTCAGCCTGGCCTCTGCTAAGTGAGCAGCTTCTCTCCCTTATGTCACCTCTCTGCTGCTTTCAAATTCCCTCTTTATAACTCCTTTCCTCACTTTGCTCTTTCTAAAGCTTTCCGCAGCCTCCAAAATCTTTCCAAAGTAGCCTGTTTTTCCTTCTCTGGTTGAGTTGCAGCTGTTCGCAATTTGCTGCCCGTTCAACACCTGGGCAGGGAATCAAGACTTAACGCTTTCCAGATGGGGGTAACAGCCCCACCACAATTAGCTCTCTAATATGAAAGGCGTAGCACAGCAGCACACAACACGGGCAAAAAGGCAAGACAGCAGCCTCAATCTTTAGTCAGCGCAGTGCAAAGGAGGTAAAACTGCAACCAAGCAGAGTTTTCCAGATATGAAATCGTTCCAATGAGTGCAGAAATCACTTATCTCATTAAAAAAAAAAAAAAAAAAGAAAGAAAATCGGGCTTTCAAGCAGGTCTCAAAAAGCAGCTCCTCCAGGGAGGAGGGAGAAAAGGCATCCTCACAGCCACATGAAATTGTATCAACACGTTCACTGGAAACCTAAGTTCTATTATAATCTTCCCATCCAAAGATAGGATACAAAAATCTTCAAGGGATCACCCTTCCAACTTGGAAGTATGAGGCAAGTTTCCTAGTTACTTATAAAGAGGAAACAAAATCCCTGAAACCCAAAAGCCTATGAGGTGGAAGGGAGGGAGGAGGTGAAATGGTTAGATGCGACACAAAGGACTGCAAGCCAGAGACTGCGGTAAATTGTGTGTCGCAATATTCTCAGCCAATGATAAAAGCAGCAGACAAGGAGAGAAAGAAAGCTTGTTCCCTGGCTGGGAAGCTATAGTCACCCATGAGAGGTTTACGCTGGTCTCACCAAAATGTAAACATCTCAGAACAGCAATGCTTCCATCACCCTCCCCTCTGTTCTTCACTTTGCATCTGTAATTAAATGACATGACGCAGTATGAAGTGATGAAGACTTAAGTTTATAATCAAGCTTTATTATGAACTCAAGAGGCATAAAAAGTAAAGAAACATATCTTTACTAGGTACTAGTATCATTTTGACTACTCAGTGCGCTAAGACAACAACTACAAGTTCATACAAAAATATGCTTTGCAAATCTGGAGTTTAGATTTAACATTAAAAAATTCCAGACATAAGAACTTAAAAGGCAGATATGAAAGGTCACATAGAGAAAAAGCAAAACTGACCAAAATTGAGACTTTGCACCTTTACTTTTGGAATTTTGTGTGAAAGGGTAAATGAGTAAATGTCAAATTTTCAAGAAGTACAGAGAGCCCGAGAAGGACCAAAAGGAGCACGTTCAGCAGACAGCATTCCTCCACTGGCTGATTACATTACCTGTGTGGTCTAAGGCAAGAGGTTAGAGTGAATACAGGCATTGTATATGATAAGAACAGAGCAGTCTTTCTTTGTTGGGCTCTGTAAGCTTTCTTTAAACAGTATTGCACAATTTAAGTCTTGCCATAATAAGGGAGATGCAGACACAGATACACCCTAATAATTTTTAAAATCATCCAAGTAGAAGAGCAATACAAGTTAACCTCGGACATTAAGGATGGGAAGCAAAGCAAACAGCAGCAGCTATGAAATCTGGAAAACCTCTTCGCCAACAAATAAGGAGATGCGAAGTATCTACCCTCAGGTAAACTAGGCTGTGCAGTGGGGAACACAATGACAAACCAGAGACGTAGATTTGAGTCCCAGTTTTGACATTTATTAATGGCTCTGACCTTCTACTAAAGCCAAATCTGGCACCATTAAGAAAGAAGCTGTCTTAGCTTTTATAAGCATGATCGCCATCTCCCAGAACTGACAGAAAAAACAGGAAAGCAAGCAAGAAGACTGTCCCATTTCTCGTGGGAATACAGCACACCAGGTAGGGCCCTGTCAACACCAGCCTGGCAAAAGCAGAAACATTGTACAGAGTGAAATCCTCCTGCTAACAAGTAAGTGATAAGGCAAAACCAAGCAGTTTATTTTAATAGGGGAGTTATCTGTACTTTATGGTTTGGCAAAACAGCTTGGAGTTTAACAGTTATGTCGTAGTTGCACGTAAATCAGACTGTTTTGATCCCTGACTGTTCAACAATTTGCAAATATTTATTAATTTGTACTCCAGTGCTGAACTGCAAACCCGTGGGATTTCTGTATACAGTTTTGCAGGAGATTATTTATGCCTACAGTTCTGATCCTTCTGCTTCTTCCCTCGCCCCTCCCCAAGGGAAGAACTATAGAGATACCAAAATCTTGCTGTAGGGCTAAAACACCTAATTGAGTGTTGCCCATACTAGTTTGTGAAATTAAAATACAAAGAGATGTCTCTGGTATTCAACCATTTCAAGCAAGAGTGTTCAGGTGGTAGCTGCTTTTGATCAGAAACAGACATTACCAAAAAAGTTTGTACTTCTCCTTTTCATCAGGAGGTTGACATGAGACTGAAGACTCATCTTGCAAGTCATAGTAACACAGACCAGAGGGGAGAATTTTTTTTCAGAATCACACTGATGTACTAACTGTGCAAAATTTTAATCACATACAAGCAAGTACAGTGATTAAAGATCACATACATGCACTACCCATGAGCAAAGCAAGAACCTCAACAGTGTTGCACGCTGGTACTGGAGCAAGTCTCCCTAGCACCAGTCAGTCCTCACAAAAAGCAAAATAAGCTATTTACTGGGGAGCAAGCAGCATGACCCATTTAGTCCAGGCTGTTTAAATGACAGATAGGCATAGCTATCAGTATGTAAAGTATCCTGTGAGAATCCCTGCATATGGACCCTGGAAGACAACAAAAAGCACCGAAGCCCTTACATTATTAAAAGAGAGGAATAAAAGCTTTATATTAAACAATTATTTTCTCTCAAATCTCTGGAGAGTGGCAAACATTAACATAATTCAGCTGGGATGTTAAGCAAACTGGTGTTAAACAGCTTAAGTTCTTGTTTCTTACCTCTTCAGGTACAATGATTAAGGGGTATTTGTCCTCTGATAAGAAGTTAAAAATAACCCACACTTTAAATGCATCTTCATCACTAATCAGCAAAGGACTTTTAGAGAGGTTCTTTTTAGCACAAAGGGTCCAGCACATCCTGTTGAATTCAACTTTGTCAAAGTTTCCTTGAACCTAAAGTGAAGAAATTGAACAAAAAAAATTTAATATGCACAAATGGCACAGAATAACAGACAGACAAAATTTAGCAGGCTAAGTCATTCAAAAAGCACTGAGAAAATTCTAGTTTGCAAGAAATGTCAAGGCCCAAAAAGAGCACTGTAGCAGCCTAGTCTGACTTCCTGAAAAGGGTCAACTAAGGAATTTCTTCCAGCAAAATCTACATCCAACCTGCAATTTCTGGTCAAGTTAATAACACCCTGACTTCATGTGAAGGAGGCTACACTGCATTCTGCGTTTCATCTAGCACGTTAGCTTTAGCTTCCAAACCATCTTCATAACTGCCTTAGTTCCAACTGCCCTTCTGTTGCACTGAGTTACTGAGATTTTATGTAGCAAATTTGGAAACGATTATAGCCAAAACTACATGTGAATATGCTAAAGGCAATATTGGAACAATAGCTGGGAAAGACCTTTAATATGTTTTTCCACTTCATGTTACTCAAACATAACTCTTGTAGGATATTCATAAACATGTAATCATCTTTTTCTGAAATGCTAATCCACTTAAAACCTTTCCTTTTTCTCAGACTTGCAAAATTTTACCTTATTGATAAAAAAATTCCTCTTGTTTTCGTTACCCTTTATCATACCTAGCAACCGTACATACCCATCTGTGAATTATTTACATATGCGAAAGCTTTCATTTCCTCTATTTTCTTTTTAAACCCTCAGTGAAATCTATTTATCTCCCTACAGCTTAGCAATGCTATTTCTTTGCCAGCATGTAACTGATAAAGGCATGTTCTGCACTGTAATGGAAGTCCCTTGCGATTTCAGAAAGCATGTCTAAGAAACACGTTCTTGTACCTCTTGTGGTAACGACACCAGTAATGTTCAGTGACATTTTCTTATGATAGGCCAAACCATGCATCTTAGATGCTTCAAGGACACCACTGTAAACTGTATGATTTCCTGTCCAGTCTGGTAAGCGGTCAAATATAGTGGGTAAGCCACAGTGGCTAAGTCAAAGACAGACTAAGGAAGTGGATGAAATGATATGGGTGGAGGAAAATAAGAAAAAAAGAAAAGAAAAAAAAAGACAGAAGTAAACAGGAAACCAACCCTATGCCAAGAAGCATTTTACAGTACAGTTTCCAGGACTAAAAGTGAGATTATGAAAGCAAGCCATAGACTTTGCATGCTTGCAGAGCAGGCCACCAACGTAAGTGACAATGCAAGAGGCTGGCTACAGGCTGCAACTGTCCTTTGAAGAAGGTGGAAGCTGTAAGAGCTATAGCTGCTATAGACACAAGCTTGGCATCCTGGTTGTTCGCACAAGAAAACACGGGTCTTAAATGAAACACCAGCTAAGCGAATGAACACCCTTTGGAAGAAGGGCAAGAAGCCAGGTTTCCTTCTCCTTCCTTCAATTTGCCAGTGCCTTGGCTACTTTTGCCTGTGCTTTTTCCTGTCTGTCCTCCCCACCCTGCCCAGTGAAGCTGGATTTCTTTTCTAAAACAGCTTCACCTACCCAGATGATGAGCAGTTCCACTTTGGAAATGTCCTAGTGGTTATGCTGCTCCCAAGGAAGATGCCAACAGGGTGGGAAATCTCCTTTCCTACAGCCACCACATGGCAAGTGGTCCAAGCAATATCAATAAGGTGGGTTGCTGTGTGAGCAAGCTCGTGTTTTAAAGCACAGCAGCAATCAATGACCACAGGGAGACAGGTGAAGAAAGGCATGGGCCCTGGCCACCAGGATTAGGGCAGCCAAGCAGGAGTTTCAGGACCATATTGCCGCAAGGACTAGGTCATGCCGTGCCAGAGGTCCCACTTTAGACACGCAAGTCCTTTTTTCGGAATCCAAACTTGATTCTGAAATGGACTTCATGGGACCCATGTAGCATATGGAGCAGAGACACTGCTTAGGAATTATTCAGGACCGATAATCAGATCGGCGCACAAGTCTCGGCTCTCTAAAATAACTCTGGTTCACATCTGTGGCTTTTTTTCTAAATGATCAGGCTGTCTGTCAAATAAAGGATACAATCACAAAATTGTTTTCCTGGGGATATTGGGAGTCGGGATGGAACTAAACAGTTCTCTTTAATAAAGAATAAAAATTATCCTCAGCAATTTCACATAGCAATGTCAACTATTCCCGGCACCTACATTCTACAGGTACATTTGCAGGGGGTGGGAGGGGAAAGAAGGTGAAACTCCCGCAACTAAACCCAAATTGCTTTATAGCTAACTCCATATGACAAAAGTCTTAGCTGTGCTACTTTGGCTTCCTTGACTGGCAATACTCCACCATAGGTGGCTACATAACAATTACTCTGTATGAATAATCTCTCTGGATTTATGAGAGATCATTTCTCAGCCTCATTTCAAAAATTAAAAATATTTGAATAGTTTCTAAAGTTATACTTGAAATTATTTGCAAAACTACTTCTAACAGTTAAGAAACTGTAAAAGTAGAAACTTTTCAACTGGGAGGCGCTGATGTCAAAAAAAGTCATAAACAAATACACACACTGCTTTTTCATTACATAAACAAAACATGTATTTATAAAAAAAAGATTGGGTCAAAGACTATCCTGAAATTTAAATTTAAAGAGGATTTCCCAAAACTTCTTTCATTACAGTGAGACTCTACTATGAATCCTACACTGAAATCATCTTCATTGAAACTAAAATAAGAAATTTATGACACTCTACTGAGAAACCAGAATTTCAATTGTGTTTGGCCAGAATACTCATCCTGCTTGCAATCTCTGGGAATATCACACAATTCTGTTTCTTAATTAATGAACAAATCCTTGTACAAGAGATTTTCCCTGTGCACTAGTATATCCTTTTAACTATACTTCAAAATTTGTCCAAATTATTTCAAGTCACAATTTCATTTGGAAACTTCTACAGTTCCACTTCCACACTATTAACTCTACAGCAACTATCACTTTTGTTTCTGAATCTGTCCAAACGATGAAACATGCAAATGAACAGACCCCTCCAACCTTGAAACTGCTTAAATTCATAGAGATAAAAACATGATATATAAAAGACACCTACGTTCCCCTTCTAAGAATTTTCTCAAAATAATGAAAAGAAAAATGCAGCAAAACCCTTATCACTTCTAGATCTTCAATGTCTATCAATATGCAAAGTATAATTTACCATCATCAATACCCTACCAAATAACTCTAAAACATCAGGAAATACAGAAAATATTTGGCTTAAGCACCAGTGATCAGATTGGTTCCAAAAATGTAACAAGTGTTCTTAGTGTAAATAGCATTCACTAAGTTGTCTGGAAGATGAGATAACCTGAGGTTTAGAATGATGTTCTGTATCTCCCCCCTCTATGACTCTTCCCTGCTATAAATAAGGCCTGTTGTAAAATACCACCATCAGCATAACTGAAAATGAAACATTTTCAAATGGTATTAAAACATTTTCAATTGCTATTAAAAGACGTACATTGTAAATAATGGAACATCGTAAAATATGGTTATGAAACCAAGTAAAACAAATTATGAAGAAGACCTTATACTGGCAAGTGACAGCTCCCTCTGGAAAGGGACACTTACAGAACAAGAACAGATTTTGCTTCAGATGCAGGAAAATCATGGATACACCTGTTGCTAAGTAGCGAGCAGCACAATACTAGAAATTGTCAATAAGGCAATACTAGTTATTCAAACTATTTATTAACATTTGCTATTTGGATAAAGGAAACTAGTTACAACAAATTTGCCTCAATTATGAACTTGTGCCTTTCTTGATGACTCCTTGGATCTATATAAAGAGGCTTTATTGCAGGGTAACACAAGTTAAGCCAGCACTAAAAAAAAAAAAAAAAGCTACAACTTGCATTTAAGAGTACAACAGAAGTTATTTCAAAAGGTTACAAAGTTCTCTCAATAAAATTGTAAGTCACAAATACATATCTGTTTTAAAGAAATCTAAGGATTTATTGTTTAAATATTTTACTAATGTTTTAAAGCAAAATATTTTGAGATGTAAAAAAACAATCTCTTGAGCAGGTTGCTCTTGCTCAAATCAATTAATTCACCACAAGATGTATGACTCAAAATTGAGATAACTTCCTCTGTATTTGGGGGTGTAAAGCACCAGTCCTTTAGTAGCTTTGCTTACTAGCATAAATTAATAGCATTTGTTCTACAATCACCCCATCTAAAGAACAGATTACGCCTTGGAAGCATGAAAAGAGAAGGGGTTTCTTGTTTGCCTTTTTTGCTTGTTTGTTTTAAACAAAGGAGACATGCTATGAACCAGTGACTTCATCCTGCTGTATGTTGTTTTTTGGCACTGATGTAAAGTCATCTCTAAAAGATAAGATGTCACAGTCAAGATTTCTCCAGTCCACAAAGATAGCCTCTGTCTAAAGAATTTCACTAACTTTTAATATTACATATCTAAACAGTTTACAAGCACTTAGTCAGGATTAAGTAGCATGAAGTTACAGGTAATTTAATCCTGTTCCTTAACACTTTCAAGATGAACTAATGGTATGGGTATATCAGGCAACTATTGGAAGCCAGATCACTGTATGTATAAAACAACACAAGAAACTACATGCAATCATGCTCTCTCCTTTCATGAGAAAGCAAAGTCCCTTGTCTTTTGTTTTTACCATGGGGTAAGAAGGTGCCTCCGAGTAGCTAAACACTGTAAATTCACACCAACTTGCTTATATAGCCAGGTCTTTAATTTTCAAATTAAAGTGTATTTAAATGCAACTGCTCCTCATTTCTGTAACTATTCTTCCTATAAACATCCTTTAATAATAAACCATGTTTATATTTGGAAAAGCCTTCTATCTCTTTTTTTTTTTTTTCTTTTTTTTTACTTAACGGCTTGCTACTGCCTACAAATGGTATTAACAAAAAACATCGTGGTTCAGACTCTACTACTGTAATCCTTCAGTCAAAATAAAGTAAGCCCTTTTCTTTTTTCCCAAAATTTGTATACAAACTGCTTGGTTTCCATTGAACCGCACAGGAGCTCAGACAGCCAACACAAGGTGGAAATGAGATCACGAACTTTTTAGGGACAAAGCTAGATTCTCCAACATCAAACAACGAAGTTATTAAGCGGGTACTTTTATGTGTGTTAACAGCCAACAACTCCCACATGTAAAACATAACTCTATTATTGGGTATGAAAGAAACACAGTCTAGAGGCAGAGAAGCTGGCAAGTCTTAGCTACACATATGAAGCTTCTCCAGCTTCCAAGCTGCCAGACTGCATTTTTATATCTATCTATCTATCTAGCGCGCGCTCTCTCTCATATTTTCCACCTGTATTAAACGTAGATTAAAGAAGCAGAAAAAATTAGCAGATAGGGCTAAGGAATTTGCATAATCTGCAATTGCTGCATTGGACTTTTCAGCAGCATGTAAGTTCAGGACTTCTTAACATTATAAAGAAACATTACAAAGAAAGCAAACATCTCTGTATCTCTGCAGACACAGCATCAAGGTTTGAGGGTTTCTGGAGTCAGCCTCCAAGTGTACGAGTAATCAGTGGTATCAAAGCTGATATGTTTGCACTATCACGTGGGCTGGTTTTTACTGTCTAGACCAGTCTCTTAACAGAAGTTGTTGGAAAAAAAGGCAAGAGGATAATTTTTTTACTTTCAAAAATTTCATCCTAAATCTCAAACACACAGCTCTGAGAGCCCAGTTCTGGCCCAGTGACTACCTATCTTAGAACAAGGTGGAAAGGAAAGATGAGGAAACCTTGCTGGCTTTCCAGAGCTTCCCCCAAAACAAGGCACAATGGAAGACTGAAGAGTGCTCAGACATGAAAGGGAAGAACTTACAAGACGAAACTTAACACTTTCTAATGTCACCCACTGTAACTATTTGAAGGGATCTATTTATTCAAGTACCTTGTGAATAGACACTAAAGATGTTTTTGACCTTCCCGTTTGCAAAGGAATCTATAGCAATATTCTGTTATAGCTGTAGTATAAAGTGGGACAATCTATAGCTCTAAGACACTTTCAAATAAATTCAAGCTGAGGTCCTTTATTAATATGAACACAGTTCTGCATGAACACAGATAAGACAATGACCAGATGTAACAGGAAATAGAAACGAAGGAGAAAAATAAGAAGTAGAGAACACTGCATCCTTCCATTTTCAGGCACAGGCTCTCCAGAGCACCTGCCCCATCACAACCCCACACAGGCACACTCACAACCAGAGTGTCTTCACACCAGCATGCTTCCTGCAAGCAATAAAGAAACTAATACAAAACCTGATAAAAGGAAAAACAGAAAACAAGAATTCAAAACTTACCTTCTCCAAGATGAATTTGTTTAGATAAGGCATGTAACCCTGATTGGAAACTGGCCCTTCATCATCATCCCTAAAGTGCTCTTCCAAGGCCACCGGATCGTGGGGAACATTTAACACTGTGCACAAGTTGTGAGAAAGGACCTAAGGACAGAAGAGAAATCAGTGACAATGCTGTCGGCCTTAACCACGCTGTGTTCCCTCCAGAGCAGACCTGTGATGTGCAAAACCGTGCAGAAAGTGACGCTTTCATGTCAGCACAAGTTCTGCCCTGTGGATTTTTGTCAAAAAACAAAGTGTAACTAAAAAAGTTGACTCCAACAATTCAACAGCTTCAGACAGTTGCACATTTACAGAAGCAATGCAATCACAGATAGGTCCATTCCTACAGGAGTGCACACACAGCTACGGAAGCTACCCTTTGTACACATACCCATTTGAAAAACAGGATAGGCTTGCAGAAACACCAAAGTAATATTTACAGAGTGAAATTAGATAGCTACAGAAAACGACCACAAACACCTAGCCTTTGAAATTATATTTATTATCTACTGACAAGTAACAAAGAAAACGACTCAATATGTACCTTTACTTTACAAAGAAATGACCCCTCAAGTTCACGCATTGATAACGGATTTCTCTCATCTGCTTGCTTTTGTGTTGCTTCTTAACATTCATTCCATGTTTCAGTTAGCAAAGGAAAAGTAATCTTATATAGAAAGGGGAAGGTTTTAGGTGTGCTTCTCAAATTTTTATTTTAAAAAGATATTTGCATTAATTATGTCAAGAGCTTAACACCCACCAGCACTCACGTCTGTTCTTGAGAAATGACCTTCAAGAAGAGGCTACACGCTTGATTAGTTTTAAGGAAGTACTGAATGACTGAAAACTAACCGGTAGCCAACACATCTCAACTTCTTCAACGTAGGCCAAGTTTTGCACGCACAAACTAACGCCTCAGTACCGACAACAGGAAGGCAGAGCCAGGGTAGCAGTCAACTCCTGCGCCACCAGCACTTTCCTAACAAAGGCAAAGTACCATTCCTTTCGTTGTTTACACTGTCTTGAGTCAGGTCAATCCTGTAACATGCTGCCCGCTGGGTCTTAAACATGATGTCACTCAGAAGCTCTCTCCCCTTGGCATGATGCAGAGTTAAGCCTCTGAAGACCACGTACCGGCTACAGGAACTGCGTTAAGGACTTAACTTCACATGCCCAGGAATGGTCTGCATTGAAAAAAATCTAAGAACCAAAGGCAAAAAATACAGGTAAAACAAAATTTGGTAGAAGTGAAATAGATTGCATCTTTTGAAAAGGTATGCTGCTTACGGTTAGGGTTTTTTTTAAATCAACAACTAGATGGGACAGACTGCAACTGAATTTTGCGCTGCATAGACTAAAAAAAAACCCAGACTCAAATGATGCCAAGTAAAAGCAGTAAAAAAAGTGCAGAAAATTTGTAAGTAGGCCTATTTAGGTGAGTAGACATACAGCGGTCTAGATGGGGTATCTGCAAAACAAGAAGTGAAAGTCTAAAGTTGTCAAAGCCTAGGAAATCAAACTTACGCCACACACTTAAAATGTCTGGGTTTTCCCCCACCCCAAAAAATAATGTACATTTTACTTTTCTTAAGTAGAACAACGACACATGCAAAGACTAAGCACTAGTTGACATAAAATCCTACAAAGATAGCCCAAGATGCAACTGATTTCGGAGGAAAATTCCTCTATACATGCTTCCAAAGATTACACTTTCTTTTAGAAAAAGCACACATTTCCACGAGAAATACATATTTTCATTTCATATGCTAATATTAAGCCATTGGGGCTAACCAGGTGCAGAAGTTTGAAAACAGAAAAACAATAACATCAGCCGTATTACAACAAAAGTTTTATTTCCCAAAGTAGCAAAATAGTATTTAGAAGTTACCATATTTCACACTACCCTCCATCAACAGTGTATTTCCCTTCCATCCACCCTTATTTTTAACCACCACGTCAAATGAAGTATTTGAGTCCATGTGATTTACAACTGGGGGGACGACGACGATGTACTATCATGCGTGTTTCCCCTTCTATTTAAGACTTTTGTTGTTATTTATAGAACACTGCGGGATTCTTGAATTTCTGAGAGATAAAGATGATCTCAGTTTTCCAACCAGCCTCTAGTTGCTAATACTATAACTAAAAAAAACCTCAGCTAATAAAAAAATATTGTAAAAGCATAACTGATTTAAGCTTACTACCAAAATAACTTAAAAGTCTCAATAAAACACTTTTCGTCATGTCCCTTCTACATGTTTCTCTTCTCCCTTTTTCAGCTTTCTTGCTGTGCTTGGGCTGTCAGAAACCTAGGTGGTTTCCGCATCAAGCAACCAATTTACCAGGAAAGAATTCCACTTTCAGTCATTTTCTAAGATCTGCCTTATCTGCGATCTCTCCTGTGCCCAGTGCTCTCTTTTCATAACTCAGGAAATTCCTCAGCGCCTGCCAAAGCCTGCCATTCTCTAACACAGCCAAGTGCCAGCTGAATTCTTCAGCTGCAGGGTAAGCCTGAAAAATTTTGCACTGATGCCTCATTTTGTTTTGTTTTGTCTCCTCAAATCACATTATTTGGACCATGATATACTCCATTTTAATAACCAATTAAAAAAAAAAAAATCTAGCTGAGTATTAGGTTAACTGGGGTACAAAAAATTGCCTTGCCTTGCAGAAGCTCCATCAACCATGAGGAAGTTTTGCACCAGTAAAGATTATTCCCCCCATGCCCGCAGGGTTGCTAAGCAGCTTTTTCTTTCAGCACTTACTATGCTCGGGATGCCACATTTAACAATCTACCTTCAAGCCAGAGCCAACTCCTACTCCAGGACAGGGACTCATCTCTGTACTGCGGCAAATGGGCACAGCGGTGGTCCCTGAACTGTAGTCCATGAGGCAGTACAAGTGGTCTGCAAAGGGTTCACAAAACCAGTGCAGTCTGGGCACAGTTCGTCCCTTTTCAATGAAAAGTTTCGTAAGAAAGATGCCTAGTGGTGCCCTGGGAATACTGAAGGTGTTCTGCTCTAAATATAAATAACTGGATGAAACAAGCAAACTGAACACCAAAGGTCTTTACAGACACCAGATTTACTTTATTTATGGCCAGTCTCATGCTGCTTTACCTGGTGGAGTGCAGATCTCCAGTCCAGCTCTACTCCACCACAACTGCTCCCCTCTGAGCTCCCATTTTCCAAAACACCGATCTTCCAAAACTTTAAGCACGTGTTGAATTGTTACCCTCTGAGTAATTTAACCTTGTCCATAAAAGTGATCTGAGTTTCTAAAGGGAAAAGGAAGATCTGCTAGACTACTTACTGCTCAGCAACAAAAATTTGGCCCAGATGATAGTAGGAGCATTAACAGGGCAGACTAATCCTACAGCGGCTATTGTCAGTTTCTTCAGTACTTTTTTCTTTTTCTTTTCCATTTTTCAGGGGGGTCTTCTCCCTCCCCCATCTCTTTTTAAGATTTTAAAACATTGGCATCGCAGATCCTGACAGCTCCATTCAGTGGCTTTGTGTGAATTCAGTCCAAGACATTCTTGGCTAATGTCTCCATGACATCCATGTCAGCAGCTAGCCAGCCAAAATAAGGCTACTCACAAGTACTTTCCCTTTTCCTTTTTTGACCAGCGTGGAAACCAGCATCGTATATGCCCCTTGTCACAGGCATAAGGTCTTTTCACCCAGGGTACGTCCTAAGCATGCATTTTCTTGCATCACAGCATCTCCAAAGTACAGCTTCCTTGGTACCACTCAGGGAGCAAATGCTCCATTCGGAGTCTCATTATTTAACATCGGGGTTAGTGCAGCAACCTCTTTCCCAGTCAGACGAGTGTGTTCAAACCCAGCCTCCACCAGCTCAGGTTCCTGATGCTAGTACCCTTCGCACACATCACCTCGCAGTTCCTTTATTTGCTCCCTTCTCCCCTGGGCACCCACAGACCCCTTCTCATCTTTTGAACAACCCTCACTCTTCCTCTTGCCTTCATTATCAGTACGCCCGCTTTGGCCCCCAATCACATACCAGTGCCAGCCTGCGCCTGCCCAGTTGCCAAGGGAATTGCCTTTCTGCCCTGTCGCTCCCAGGCCTTAGGAAGAGCTCCCAGTAAACATCCTCCAGCTAGTGCACCCTTCTTCTATATCTTCCCTGAAACCAGTTGCCAAAACCTCAAGGACAAAGGTTAAATGGGCTGCTGATCCACTGGCAGCTGCTCCTCTCGAACACAGTATCACGGCCCCGTCGTTTCCTAATGCCCTCCTTTTGGTCTACAAGCTGCCTTGGTTTGCCAGCTCTTCTGGAGGAGGGGCATCTCTCCCCTTGCACCTTACAGACACGATTCCTCATGGCTACCCTCATGCAAACGCTTCCGAGTCCCGTTAATAACATCAGAGTACAACTCTCTCATAGTGAGTCATAATGACTAATTTCCTACCATCCTTCAATGTTGTACAGAGTCAATTGTCCAACTGGGGTCCTGCCCACTCGTCACAGGCTCTCAACCCTTCCAGTGCCTTGCTACATTGTTCAAGGTCTTCCTCTCCCTTTGGACCATCCCTCTTGCCCCTGATTACACCATTCTTCCTCTTCCCACCAGCCACTGACTTCCCATTTAGTAAAAAAGGCAAAACAAAGATACGAGGTATAATAATCCCATAACACCCCAGAGATGATTAAAGATCAGTTTAAATTTTCGAAGCCTGACTAGTTACTTTGGTCACCCACATCTTATGGGCCCAAATGAGACTGTATTTTCACGAGGTGCTCACCATCCACATTCTGCAGGTATCACACCAGGAATCCAAGACTTTGAAAATCCATCCCAATGTAGCATGCAAAACAAAATAAGAACAGCCAAATAATCCCATTGCCTAAGCAGAGCCAAGTCACAAAGCAATATAAGGAAGAGCTTCCAGAGAGAGTGTGAAACCTAATTAGTATGTATTCTTTCCAAGATCCAATCATACACACATGCTACAAGGAATTTTGCTGGCTGTTAAGTGTAACTACATTTAAAACTGCAGTGTTTCAAGATCCAGATGAAAAGCAGATTGAATGTTGGCACATCACAGAAACTTATTAAAATAAGTCAATTTTGAAATTGC